AGGTTTTTATTGGTCTTATGAGGCAGGGGGCTTATGACGGTAGCTCTCGGCATGCAGCCACAAATGAGATCGGAATTTCTCTTGCTAAGCAAGAGTTAAATGACTCACACCTGATTTTATGAGCTTTTTTGCCATAGTAGTTAAATGACTTGCTGCAGTCTAGCAAATTCAGCTTCCCCCATTGACTTCGTTGGATGCCGGATGCCGGCTGGGAAGGTCATGAATCTAGGGTGACCCAGATCTCATTTTATTTGGCTAACGAGGACCCTCTTGTTACTTTCAGAAGTGCTACTGCCACGCCAGATATACCCACCACACCCACGTACTTGCACCTTCTGAGATGCAGAATTCCAGATTTTTTTCTCCCCTATTACAATATCTTCCTATCCATTGACTGCTTCTTCCTGCAGTGGACACACGTCTACTTTTTTTTAAAAAAAAATCCTTCGCCTCTCCACTAAAACAGGAGTGGGCAACTATGGCCCCTTTACCACCTGTGAACTTCAACTCCCAGAATTCCTGGGAATTCTAACTCGGGAACTCCCAGAGTTCCTATGGCTGGCTTAGGAATTCTGGGAGTTGAAGTCCACAGGCCGTAAAGTGGACGTAGTTGCCCACTCCTGCTCTAGAAGTATTATCCATCCATCCCTCCCAACTTTTCTGTCATATGATGACTTTATCAATGTCTCCTAAACGCCCTGATCCATGATCATTTTGAAAAATAATTAACAGGACGAACCCTGAGCGCTGACAAGTACTTTAGCTAAAATGGGTGGTATAAAAACTTGACACTGTGCCAAATGCAGATATTGGGAGAATCTTTATACCTCTAGGAAAAAAAGCATGCTGTGGCTCTTACATTAGGAGAGATACTCCTTTAGTAAAATGCTTGTCTCTCCAACTTTCCGTAGCAAGAGAAGGTGGCTTTGACTACATCCAGAATTCATAGCTGTATACTGCAAATATTACATTCATATATAGTGTAGAATAGTGCAGTATTACTGTTTGTTTATTCATGTCAGAAGCATCATAATTAAAATAAGGCATACTATTTATATAAATAAAAATGTAAATGTTCGTTTGTTCAAAATCTTAAATCTCCGAAAGTTCTCTACCGATTGCTTTGAAATTTTGACACAATGTTGCATTCGAATACGCGCGTGTTTTTATATACCTACTATTATATAGATGTCACACCTGTGACAGGTAAAAACATGTTTTTGAAAAACAGCGCCATCTGTTGGATGTAAAAGCAACACACACTAGCATTGTGAAATTAAACATATTACAAACGTGCGTTTTCTCTTTTCTTTCTTTTCCATTTAACCAGACTGAGCCACAGCAACGCGTGGCCGGGTACAGCTAGTACAAAATAAAAAAAACATATTACTGTTTAAAAAAAAAACCCTTTACACTTAATGCAACCGCTGTCATTTCCCCATGAAATGAATTCTTGCTTCTTACACAATATTCTTTGTTGAACCTGCGTGAAAGGATTGCCTCACCTCCATCTTTGGGACTGAATGGATGCAACTGTGTGTTTTGAAAGAGAGACAAGGAAATAATAATAAAAATAACCCCTCAGTAATGTCTTTCTTGGGACCTGAAGCCCCTTTGCTATCTTTGATCTATAAGGCGTCAGGCTGCAGTAAAGCATAGTTTTATGGGCTGTAAAGAGGAGAAGCTGAGAAACTTCATGGATAATTGATTTAAAGCTTCTCTAGAAGGTGTGAGATCAAAGAGTGGCTTAATGTGTTTATAACTGCCCTGGAGAGCAGTCAGCCAAAGCCTGGAAGGGGTCTCGATCTTGGTCAATGCATTAACAGGATTTGCTTTCTCCAAGTCATTCTTTCTCCAGGCAGACTTTTTCTTATAAAAGTATACCAAAGTTGGGAATTGATGGCTTGAAGTTCAGCATTGTCAAAGGTACTAAATACATTTCAAATCACTTGCTGAGTTCACAGTAACACCCATTGGACAGCTATTTGTCTGAAATGGGATAAGGTCTCCTGCTTGAGCAGGGGGTTGGACTAGAAGACCTCCAAGGCCCCTTCCAACTCTTGTTATTCTGTCATTCCACATGAAGCTCTGGCTTGTTTCTCAGATGTAATTCAGGATACAGGCACAACTGAGCCCAAAATTTCTGTTGCTACGTGACACACTTGTTAAGTGAGTTTCGCTCGTTTTATGTCCTTTCCTGCCACAGATAAGAGAATCGCTGCAGTTGTTAAACTAGTAACACAGTTGTTAAGTGAATCATTTGACTTTGCTGGTCAGAAAGTCGCAAAAGGGGATCATATGACCCAGGGACACTGCGACCGTCATAAATACGAGCCAGTTGCCAAGCGCAAGATGGATCAAGACTCACCTCAGCCAAATATGGCGGTCCAATTGCCAAAAGGAAGCTTAGGAGCGCCTTGGGTGGAAACATGGGTGGAAGAGGCCTTCATCCTGCACTGGATGAGATGATGGCTAAAAGGATGAATGAGGATGAGAGTCA